GGGTTGTGCCCATTGTGTTCGTGGGTCAACCAAATACCTTGGATGAAACACGTGTATTTCTGGGGTACTAACCGATCTGTACCAAGATAAATACTGATCCGTGTGTCGCATATTACCATGGTTGAGGAAAACTAGGAATTGCAAGACATGTCGGTGACGCCTCTGCCACATCTTACACCATTCTGGAGCAAAATCTTTCCAGTTGGTAAGACCCCATTGGACGTCGACCCTTTTGAGATGCCACGGGGACAAACAAGTCGGATCACCGGGTATCTCTTGATGCATTCCAAACTGCATCTTGACACAGTCATTGTGGTGCATCTCCACAATATTGAACCGTATGATTGCAGTCTTTGCGCTCCAAATTGCTGCATCCTCGGGGTTTGGTTCATGGTCCAAACCCAAATATGGTCTCCAGACAAACCGCGGATAAAATTAAATCAGCTTAATGAAAACGTAATAAATAAATAATTTAAAAGTAGAAAAGTTGAAAGGTATGACGTACATCATCCAGGCCAAGGTGATCCAATAGATTGCGGTATAGAGCGACATTGAATCTTGGATTCTTTCCGTAATCCATACCCCTCACGCAGTACTTAAAGGAATTGGAAAATATTTTATTTTTATCATATATTTGGTGAAGAGATGAATAGTAATAAATGATATAAGTTGATGACTTACTTTGTTGTTTATGGGAAAATGAATGTGTTGTTGTTGACGGGATTTAGGGACTCCATCCTCCACCAACCTCAGGCTTGAAGTAAAAAAGCGTAGCCATAAAATGTACATTTTTCCTTGATTGCATTTTTACACAAGGAATTGTATAGATGGGCTAAAACAGCAGAACCTCAACTATACTTTCTAGTTTTTTCGAAGTCTCTAAGTAAATTTAAATACATAAAATTTACACTATTTCCCGTACTTTCGGGAAATAAAAAGGTTCCAAATAGTATCATTATATAATTTCTAGCTTTTATTACCTTAGCTAGCTCGGAGGAATTTTCGTTCAATTCCAGAGTCGCATAATAATTTTTTTGCTTAGTAAGTAGTATACCCTGACCTCTCACACCACCACCTTCAACCATATCCCTTCCCAACAATTCTTCACACAGAGAATTAGGTTGTTGAACCGACCCGTTAACGGTCTTACCGTCGACAGGGAGACCCAATAACATGTACACGTCCTCTAGTGTAACGCTACATTCACCTATTGGTAGATGAAATGTATGGGTATCTGGTCTCCACCTTTCCAACATTGCAAGTATGAACTTTGAATCAATCATGCAGTTGGAGATCTTTATAACGTTTCTGAAACCTGCGTATTCGAGATAGGGTAGGATCAACGGGTCAGGAGCAAGGTAGTTGTGTGACCAGATTCTGAATCTTTTAATATCCTAAGTTAATAATGTAAAAAGTGTAAGAGTAGGTAAGATGAATAAAGCATTAATAGAAGTATGAAAAATTTATAAGTATACAAGAAACTTACAAACGCTGCAATATTGTCTGTTGTTCCTCTGTGAGAATCACCCATTGTGAGAAGAGTCATTGTTGAAAATGTCTGAGATTATGAAAGAGTTTGAAATTGTATGAGATTATGAAAGAGTTTGTAGCAGAGAGTGAGAAGATTGTGGATGCGATAGAAGTATGTGAGGCTCTGTATTTATAGGCAAAATTTTATCATAGAGTAAGTGAGGTGGTAGGTGGGTGCATGCATGCATGATAAGTGTCACTCTTGCAGTGTAGGTGCAGACTACGTGGCAGCGTTGGGGAAGGCATCTTTGCATGCATGTAACACAATTGGACGTGAAGGGAGGCGCCATTGGACTTGGCGAAAGAGTACAAAAATGAAAAGTGTCGCCATCCCTGTTGGCGAATAAGAGGTGGAATGGGTTGCAGTGTAGGTGCAGGCTAGGTGAAAGCCTTGTATAAGGCATCTCTGCATGCATGTAACACGATTGGACATGAAGGGAGGCGCCATTGAACTTGGCGAAAGAGTACAAAAATGAAAGGTGTCACCATCCTTGTTGGCGAATAAGAGGTGGCATGGGTTGCAGTGTAGGTGTAGGCTAGGTGACAACCTTGTAGAAGGCATCTTTGCATGCATGTAACACGATTGGACGTGAAGGTAAGGCGCCTTAGAGGTTGCTTACTGTTGGTTTATTCAAATTCAGTACAACCTATTTAATCTTACATTTATAAAAACACTCCTACACTTAATCACTCAAACACTAGAACATTAAAAAATTCAAGCAATTAACTCAAATACTTCAAACCTTCAAACCTTCAAACAGTCATACACAATGGCCTCTGCACCCCAATATGTGATCAATGCATATTTCAACGGTGAGACATACATTTGTCCCACCTCTGGGTTTTTGTTTAGAGACACTGAGAACATCCGGTTTTGTTTAAACAGGAAATCCAATTTCTTGTATTTTAAAAAACGATTGGAGGCCAAACTTGAACGAGGTCCCGTGACACAAATATTTTATCAGAAACCGTTTTTTTAGTAACAACCAAATAATATTTTATAAGGTTGAGGTTCAAGATGACGAGGACCTTCAAAATATGTTTTCCAGTCATGAGTATTCTGGGTACGACTCTATTGAGTTGTACATTATGCTGCGAGAGCCTCAACTGTCACAAGTGGTTGATCCTCTGGAGACCAAACAAGCAAAAGTAGATGCTATTGATGAAGAAAAAGATGACGAGTTGGAGTTTGACAACATGGTCAACGATGATTCTGAAGACGATGGGATACCTGGTATTCCTTCAAACGAGATCTACACACCACCTCCGCATATGACAAACTTTAACATGGGCGGAGATTATGACACCCCAAATAATCCGATTATTAAATAATTAGAATTTTTAATTATTAATTTAATTGGAAATTTAATTATTGGTATTTTTGGATTATTGGAATTAATTTAATTAATTAAAGGAAAGAAGTATTGGTGGTGTGAAGAGTGATTAGAGGGTGTGAGGGGTAAAATACTCTACTCTTACTAATTACTAATTTAATTATTTTATTGGAATAATAAAAGGAGTATTAAAAGGAAAAAGAAGAGAAAGAGAGTTATTTTGGAATATTCATCATACGTGCATTTGAGAAGAGGAAAAAGAAGGAGAAAATCGGAAGCGTCAGAATTTGAAGAACCCACAAGGTAAGGGGTGGTTTCGATTAGTTAATTCGTATTATCGGTTTAGATATTCAATAGTATGGATCATAGTATGTTAGGGAATCCCGGTTTGGAATTCTAGGGTTCCGTAGAATTGTCCATATTGCGTCGAATTGTAGGTTGAAAACCATTAGGGTGTCAGATGATAAAAAGGGATGATGAAATAATGTTGTTTGATGTTATAATGGTGCAAAATGGATGTGTTTTGGTGTTTCTCATGTTGCAATTCGTATGGGTATGTTTGGAATTGGTTTAGAATGAATAAATGCTGTCAAAAGTGCAGAATTTGACTCTGCAGGTCGTGGGAACCGGTTCCCAGTGGGGAGGAACCGGGTTCCACTGTGTGAATTTATAAAAACTGGCAAAAATGTACGTAGGAACCGGTTCCTGTATAGGTAGGAACCAGGTTCCCGTACATTTTTCCAGAAGCGTGATTTTTGAACTTCGCAGGAACCGGTTCCTGCATATGTAGGAACCGGGTTCTGCTGTAACTTTTGAAAAATATTAAACTTTGAAAATTCATAACTTTCAAACCGTAAGTCCGTTTTGAGTGCCGTTTTGGACGTTATTTCTTAAATTTAATGCTCTATTTTATAAAATGAAAAGATTTCCTAAAACCTTAAATTATTTTGAAAATAAGTCAAATCCCGGAATAAGTGATTATTGGCTAACGCACATGGGTGTGTATGTAGCAGTGAACCTGTGATAGATGGATGTATTAGTATTGTGTGAATGAAAGGCATATTTATGTTGCTAATGATGGTGTGCATGATAGTTGAGATATCATGTTTTTGGTTTTGGTTCAGTTATGATAAATTGATGTATTTCATAGACTGATTTGATGTTGCATGCTAGTGATGTGCGTGCATATGCATTGTTTTGGTGAAGTTAATTCCCATTGTGTGGAATTTGACTTGTATTGCCGTTAACCGATACCCGGGTGATGATGGGTGGTTAGGCTGGATTCGTGTCCGGGTGTTTATGGACGAATCGATGGTTGCTGTATCCGGTTGATGATGGATCAGTGTTGGGTGACTTGGTCACGTGTTGGTACCACATGCATTGTGTCTGCATTTGTGTTTGCATGTAATTGTAACATGTTAGGATGTCTTCCAGTGTTACAATTCTTTGGTTGATTATTGATTTATGCATAATAACTTGTATGATTGGAACTGCGTGTTGAATCTGAATTTATGCTAAAATGGGTGAAATAATATGCTTGTGATATAATGTTGATTGAGAAGCTTATAATGCATGTTAATTATGAGAAATATCACCCTTACTTTAACAATTTCAGATTAAAGTTAGCATATCAGGAGTTGGTGAGGATGGCTCTAGAGCTATGTTACTTTAAGTCCGCGTGTCAGTGTCGTGCTCTGATAGGTTGTAACACTGGGGAACGTTTAGTTGAAGAATTAGTTATTATTCAATTGTTTCTTTGAATTTCATTGGGAATAATTATGTTTTGGTTTATTCCGTTTTGGTTATGGTATTTTTCCGCTGTGTAAGACATGGTCTTAATTTGATTGAATTATTTGAATAATGACCCTCAGTGTAGCATGACTACTGTTTTATTGGAAGTTTTATTTATTTCATAATTGTGACATCCCTTGTCCCGTGTTAACTCTGATGGAATATGTCTTTAATCATTGATATAATTAATATTATTCGGGGTATTTTAGAAGGGGTGTTACAATAGTGGTATCAGAGCATAGTCGGTCTTGTCTTGTGTCGTTATCCCTTTTGTATGCGACTAGTGTAAGATGACACTGTCGATACTTGTGTGCTGATGAGGTTGTTTTGTAATGTTACAGAACAATGGCCGGAAGAGGTAACGGAAGAAACGACGATGCTATTGCTGAAGCATTGGGAATGTTGGCTGGAGTACTCGGAGGGAACCAACAGGGAGCTGTGATTGGTGCTGACCGACAATTGGGGAATTTTCAGAGGAATAATCCTCCGTTGTTCAAGGGTGCACATGATCCCGAAGGTGCTCAGAAGTGGTTGAAGGAGATCGAGAGGATCTTCATAGTAATTGACTGTGCTGAAGGGCTGAAGGTGAGATACAGAACTCACATGTTAGCAGAGGAAGCTGATGACTGGTGGGTTACTACCAGAACTGAAATGGAAGAAGATGGTATTGCGTTGACTTGGGCTGTGTTCAGGAGGGCTTTTCTAAGGAGGTACTTTCCCGAGGACATCAGAGGCAAGAAGGAGATTAAGTTTCTGGAACTCAAGCAGGGTAACAAGACTGTCAGTGAGTATGCTTCGAAGTTTACTGAGTTAGCGAAGTATTATGCTCATTATACTAACGATGCAGATGGAGAATTTTCCAAATGTATCAAGTTTGAGAATGGTCTTCGTGATGAGATTAAGCAGGGTATTCGGTATCAGCATATCCGAAGATTTCCTGATCTGGTTGACTGTAGTAGGATTTTAGAGGAGGATCTTGCTAGCACTAAGTCGAATGCTCGAGGGTATGTTGATAGGAAGGGTAAGCAATAGATGGATCGTGGTAAGCCTTATGATAGAAGTAATCAGAGACCCGGTGGTTGGAAGAAGTTTTGTGGAGGAGATTCTAGTTCTTCCATTAAGTGCTACAAGTGTGGTGAGACAGGACATCGTATGGTGGATTGCAAAAGTAATGATAAGAAGTGTTTCAAGTGTGGGAAACTCGGCCATGTGGCCAATGATTGCAGAGTAAGAGTGGTGACTTGTTACAACTGTGGTGAAGAAGGTCATACTCGTCCTCAGTGTACAAAACCCAAGAAGGAGCAAGCTGGTGGTAAAGTGTTTGCATTGTCTGGGTCAGAGACTAAGCCAGATGATCGGCTGATTAAAGGTACATGTTTTATTAATGACATACCTTTGATTGTGATTATTGATACTGGAGCTACGCATTCTTTTATTGCTTTGGATTGTGCTAAAAGATTGAATTTGGAAATTTCTAATATGGATGGAAGTATGGTTATTGATACTCCTGCGTTGGGTTCAGTGACTACTTCGTATGTTTGTAGGAATTGTCCTATTGTGATTTTTGGTAGGGGTTTCGGTATGGATTTAGTGTGCCTACCGTTAGAACAACTTGATATCATCCTTGGAATGAACTGGTTGGAATTCAACAAGGTTCATATCAACTGTTTTGCGAAGACGATTATTTTTCCTGAAGAGGTTGGTGTCGAAGATGTGACTATGTCGGTTAAACAGATGAACCTAGCTATGGAAGATGGTGCTATGGTATTTATGTTGTATTCTGCAATAGAAGCGGAGGGAAAAGCAAAGAGTGATGGATTGCCAGTGGTGAATGAATTTCCAGAGGTGTTTCCGGAAGACGTTAGTGAATTGCCACTTGAGAGGGAGGTAGAATTTACTATAGATTTGATTCCTGGAACTAGTCCGGTGTCGATGGCGCCTTACCGTATGTCGGCATCTGAATTAGCAGAGTTAAAGAAACAGTTGGAGGAGTTACTTGAGAAGAAGTTTATTCGTCCGAGTGTTTCGCCGTGGGGTGCTCCGGTGTTGTTGGTTAAGAAGAAAGAAGGTTCAATGAGATTATGTGTTGATTACAGACAGCTGAATAAAGTTACAATCAAGAATCGGTATCCTTTGCCGAGGATCGATGATTTGATGGATCAACTAGTTGGAGCTTGTGTATTTAGTAAGATTGATCTGAGATCTGGATATCATCAGATTCGTGTGAAGTCGGAAGATATTCAGAAAACTGCATTTAGAACGAAGTATGGACATTACGAGTATTCTGTTATGCCGTTTGGAGTTACTAATGCACCTGGTGTTTTCATGGAGTATATGAACAAGATATTTCATCTGTATCTTGATAAGTTTGTGGTGGTGTTCATTGATGATATTCTAATTTATTCGAAGAGCGATGAAGAGCATGTAGAACATCTCAGAGTTGTGTTGGAATTGTTGAAAGAGAAGAAGCTTTATGCGAAGTTGTCCAAGTGTGAATTCTGGTTAAGTAAAGTAAGTTTTCTTGGCCATGTAATTTCCAAGAATGGAATTGTTGTGGATCCTACGAAGGTAGAAGCAGTATCTCAGTGGGAAGCGCCGAAGAATGCTTCTGAGATCCGTAGTTTTCTGGGTCTTGCAGGTTATTACAGGAAGTTTATAGAAGGATTTTCCAAATTAGCGTTACCGTTGACTAAGTTGACCAGGAAGGGTCAGATGTTTGTTTTGGATGTTGAATGTGAGAAAGGATTTCAAGAGCTGAAGAGGAGGTTGACAAGTGCTCCGATCTTGATTTTTTCAAATCCGACTAAGTCTTTTGTTGTGTATTGTGACACATCATTAATGGGATTAGGTGGTGTGTTGATGCAAGATAAGCAGGTGGTGGCTTATGCTTCGAGACAATTGAAAGTACATGAAAGGAATTATCCGACTCATGATTTGGAGTTGGCAGCTGTTGTGTTTGTTTTGAAGTTGTGGAGGCATTATTTATATGGTTCTCGGTTTGAGGTGTTCAGTGATCACAAAAGTCTGAGGTATCTCTTTGATTAGAAAGAGTTGAATATGAGGCAGAGGAGATGGTTAGAATTTCTAAAGGATTATGATTTCGGTTTGAATTACCATCCTGGTAAGGAAAACGTTGTTGCGGATGCCTTGAGTAGAAAGTCCTTGCATATGTCGATGTTAATGGTCCGTGAGTTAGATTTGGTTGAGCAGTTCAGAGATTTAAGTTTGGTATGTGAAACTACTCCGAATAGTGTGAAATTGGGTATGTTGAAACTGACTAGTGGTATTCTGGAAGAAATTCGGAATGGACAGAAGTCCGATGTTGGGTTAGTTGATAAATTGACATTGATCAACCAAGGCCAAGGAGGCGAGTTCCGGATTGATGAGAATGGTGTTATGAGATTTGGTAATAGGGTGTGTGTTCCGGATGTTGCAGAGATTAGGAAGAGTATTTTGGAAGAAGGACATCGTAGTGGATTGAGTATTCATCCTGGTGCTACTAAAATGTACCATGATTTGAAGAAGTTGTTTTGGTGGCCGGGAATGAAAAAGGAAATTACTGAGTTTGTGTATGCTTGTTTGGTTTGTCAGAAGTTGAAGATTGAGCATCAGAAACCGTCAGGATTGATGGAACCGTTGTTTGTTCCGGAATGGAAATGGGATGGAATCTCTATGGATTTTTTGTCTGGTTTGCCAAGGACATCGAAGAATTGTGATTCTATCTGGGTTATTGTTGATCGGTTGACGAAATCTGCTCACTTTATTCCGATAAGAATGGATTATTCGATGGAAAGGTTGGCAGAATTGTATGTTGAGAAGATTGTGAGTTTGCACGGTATTCCTTCTAGTATTGTGTCGGATCGAGATCCGAGGTTTACATCTAAATTCCGGACGGGATTGCAAGAAGCTTTGGGTACTAAGTTGCGTTTGAGTTCCGCTTATCATCCACAAACAGATGGTCAGACGGAGAGAACGATTCAGTCGTTGGAAGATTTGTTAAGAGCTTGTGTGTTGGAGAAAGGTGGAGCTTGGGATAGTTATCTACCATTGATTGAGTTTACCTACAACAATAGTTTTCATTCGAGCATTGGTATGGCTCTGTTTGAGGCATTGTATGGTAGGAGGTGTCGGACACTGTTGTGTTGGTATGAATCTGGAGAGAGTGTTGTGATTAGACCGGAAATTATCCAACAGACTTCGGAAAAGATTAAGATGATTCAGGAGAAGATGAGGACTTCTCAGAGTCTTCAGAAAAGTTATCACGATAAGAGGAGGAAAGATCTTGAGTTTAGCGAAGGAGAACATGTTTTTATGCGAGTTACTCCGATGACTGGTATTGGTCGAGCTTTGAAGTCAAAGAAGTTAACTCCACGTTTTATTGGTCCGTTTCAGATTACCAAGAGAGTTGGGAAAGTTGCTTATCAGATTGCTTTGCCGCCGTCACTTGCAAATTTGCATGATGTTTTTCATGTATCTCAGCTAAGGAATTACATTGCTGATCCGTCTCATGAGATTCGGGTAGACGATATACAGGTACAAGAGAATTTGACTGTGGAAGCGGTACCTGCGAGAATTGAGGATCGGAAGTTGAAACAGCTGCGAGGCAAGGATATCGCGTTGGTAAGAGTGGCTTGGGGAGGACCAGCAGATGAAAATGTCACTTGGGAGCTGGAGAGTCAGATGAAGGACTCGTATCCCGAACTGTTCGTCTAAGGTATGTTTTCGAGGACGAAAACTCTTTTAGTTGGGGAGAGTTGTGACACCCCAAATAATCCGATTATTAAATAATTAGAATTTTTAATTATTAATTTAATTGGAAATTTAATTATTGGTATTTTTGGATTATTGGAATTAATTTAATTAATTAAAGGAAAGAAGTATTGGTGGTGTGAAGAGTGATTAGAGGGTGTGAGGGGTAAAATACTCTACTCTTACTAATTACTAATTTAATTATTTTATTGAAATAATAAAAGGAGTATTAAAAGGAAAAAGAAGAGAAAGAGAGTTATTTTGGAATATTCATCATACGTGCATTTGAGAAGAGGAAAAAGAAGGAGAAAACCGGAAGCGTCAGAATTCGAAGAACCCACAAGGTAAGGGGTGGTTTCGATTAGTTAATTCGTATTATCGGTTTAGATATTCAATAGTATGGATCATAGTATGTTAGGGAATCCCGGTTTGGAATTCTAGGGTTCCGTAGAATTGTCCCTATTGCGTCGAATTGTAGGTTGAAAACCATTAGGGTGTCAGATGATAAAAAGGGATGATGAAATAATGTTGTTTGATGTTATAATGGTGCAAAATGGATGTGTTTTGGTGTTTCTCATGTTGCAATTCATATGGGTATGTTTGGAATTGGTTTAGAATGAATAAATGCTGTCAAAAGTGCAGAATTTGACTCTGCAGGTCGTGGGAACCGGTTCCCAGTGGGGAGGAACCGGGTTCCACTGTGTGAATTTATAAAAACTGGCAAAAATGCACGTAGGAACCGGTTCCTGTATAGGTAGGAACCGGGTTCCCGTACATTTTTCCAGAAGCGTGATTTTTGAACTTTGCAGGAACCGGTTCCTGCATATGTAGGAACCGGGTTCTGCTGTAACTTTTGAAAAATATTAAACTTTGAAAATTCATAACTTTCAAACCGTAAGTCCGTTTTGAGTTCCGTTTTGGAAGTTATTTCTTAAATTTAATGCTCTATTTTATAAAATGAAAAGATTTCCTAAAACCTGAAATTATTTTAAAAATGAGTCAAATCCCGGAATAAGTGATTATTGGCTAACGCACATGGGTGTGTATGTAGCAGTGAACCTGTGATGGATGGATGCATTAGTATTGTGTGAATGAAAGGCATGTTTATGTTGCTAATGATGGTGTGCATGATCGTTGAGATATCATGTTTTTGGTTTTGGTTCAGTTATGATAAATTGATGTATTTCATAGACTGATTTGATGTTGCATGCTAGTGATGTGCGTGCATATGCATTGTTTTGGTGAAGTTAATTCCCATTGTGTGGAATTTGACTTGTATTGCCGTTAACCGATACCCGGGTGATGATGGGTGGTTAGGCTGGATTCGTGTCCGGGTGTTTATGGATGAATCGATGGTTGCTGTATCCGGTTGATGATGGATCAGTGTTGGGTGACTTGGTCACGTGTTGGTACCACATGCATTGTGTCTGCATTTGTGTTTGCATGGAATTGTAACATGTTAGGATGTCTTCCAGTGTTACAATTCTTTGGTTGATTATTGATTTGTGCATAATGACTTGTATGATTGGAACTGCGTGTTGAATCTGAATTTATGCTAAAATGGGTGAAATAATATGCTTGTGATATAATGTTGATTGAGAAGCTTATAATGCATGTTAATTATGAGAAATCTCACCCTTACTTTAACAATTTCAGATTAAAGTTAGCAGCTCAGGAGTTGGTGAGGATGGCTCTAGAGCTATGTTACTTTAAGTCCGCGTGTCAGTGTCGTGCTCTGATAGGTTGTAACACTGGGGAATGTTTAGTTGAGGAATTAGTTATTATTCAATTGTTTCTTTGAATTTCATTGGGAATAATTATGTTTTGGTTTATTCCGTTTTGGTTATGGTATTTTTCCGCTGTGTAAGACATGGTCTTAATTTGATTGAATTATTTGAATAATGACCCTCAGTGTAGCATGACTACTGTTTTATTGGAAGTTTTATTTATTTCATAATTGTGACATCCCTTGTTCCGTGTTAACTCTGATGGAATATGTCTTTAATCATTGATATAATTAATATTATTCAGGGTATTTTAGAAGGGGTGTTACAGAGATGAACCGTCTTCTGATTTATTTTTCAATCTGTATATGCAGTCGGATGAAAACTTAAAAGAGAAAGACAAATTTCGTAATAGAGAAGAATGTATCCGAGCCATCACAAAATTTCACATGCTCAACTCGGTCGATTTTAAGGTGGACCGTGTAAATCAAGAAAGGTACAAGATCAAGTGTGTCCACCCAGATTGTATGTTCAAGCTCACTGCGTCATACATATTAAGAGGTGATTGTTGGGTCATAGGTTCTATGTCCACCCACATGTGTGTCAATTCTACTCAATCACAGGATCATCGGAAACTAAATTATGATCTCATATGTCATGAAATCCTACCACTCGTCAGCAACGATCCATCATTGAAGGTGAAAACCATAATCTCCCACATCACTACGGTATTTAACTATACTCCGTCTTACCGAAAGGCGTGGTTAGCAAAGACCAAGGTGATTGAAAAGGTATATGGAAACTATGAGGATTCATACCAAGAACTTCCTTGCTACCTGAATGCACTTCAGACTTATTCTCCAGGTACTGTTTACATTCTGGAAACACTGCCAGCATACGCCCCATATGGTAGTCAACTCAACGGAAATGAAATATCCAGTCGAGTGTTTTGGGATTTTCAACCTTGCATCACAGGGTTTGCGTCATGCAAACCAATTATACAAATTGATGGGACTTGGTTGTATGGGAAATACAAAGGCACGCTACTGATGGCAGTTGCACAAGATGGCAACAACAACATTTTCCCAATTACCTTTGCCCTAGTCGAGGGAGAGACTGGTGGTTCTTGGAGCTTTTTTCTCAAGAATCTCCGAACACACATGGCTCCTCAACCAGATCTCTATTTGATCTCTGATAGACATGCATCCATTCAAGGTGCATACAACAATCTTGCAAACGGTTGGCATGACCCTCCTTCTACGCATGTCTATTGCATTAGACATATCGTCTAAAATTTCACGAGGGAGATCAAAGACAAAGCTCTTAGGAAAGCGGTTATAAATGCAGAATATGCATTGACACAGCCTACGTTCAAATATTATCGCAACGAGATCCGTTTGTCAAATCTGGACACCGACAGGTGGATCGATAATATTCTGATAGAAAAATGGACTAGGTCATACGACAATGGACAAAGATGGGGCCACATGACAACAAATCTAATTGAATCCATGAACGGGGTATTCAAAGGCATACGAAACCTCCCAGTAACTGCTTTGGTTAAATCAACATATTTTAGGATGGCTTCGTTGTTTTCCAAAAGAGGTGAAATATGGAATGTGTTAGAACAAGATTGGTTCTGATCATATCTCAGAGTTTTGATGATAACAATAAAATATATTTTATATAATTGATACTCTGATGAGCATATTTATTTGTTTCAGATAATGTTCTGACTGGAGTATTTTCCTAGATGAAAATCATTTTGACGTGCTGAGCTGAAAATAAATGAAGAAGTTCTTTGATGAAAGAACTATTTGTTTTAGCGCAAGTTCTGATGCTGACTCTGATAAGAAACTATTTTATGCATCTTCTAAAGCTTAGCAAGTTTCCATGTAAACTATGTTCAGAAGCACTTTGAAAGCAAGCGCTGATAATAAGATTTGCAAGCATATTCTGAAGCAAGACGTAAAGCTAGTTCTGATAGAATAAAGAAGCTAACAAGTCTTGTCAAGTTTCAGGAAACATGCTGTGACAAGTGTCGTTTGTCCATTTAATGCAAATACGGCTACATGCACTCAAGTGTCTACGCTAGTTCATTGGAAAATGCAATACTGCAAGCAAACACGTAAACATTAATTGCTCTCCACTTTTGAAGGCAGCAACTGTCGTTTTCTTCATGCTATAAATAGAAGATCATTTATTGCAAGCCAACTACCCAACTACATGAAAATATTCTACTGCTCACAAATCATTTTACAAACACTTTGTGCAAAACTAATCTTAGTGAAATATCACAGTTTGTGATATAGCTTTCTGAGAAGCAATTTGTTTCACTATCTGTAAAGATTTAATTCTTGTATTTGTTCCTTGAGAGATCAAGCTTGGTCAGATTTCTCAAGAAGGCTAGGACTAGTTTGAGTCTTAGTGGTGTTAGTCACTTGTAAGTTTACTTGTGCTTTGAATTGTTAGTAACAACAGTTTGGTTGTGTGATTGTAATCTGTTCGATTATAGTGAATTAAGTCCTTGTTGAGAAAGGCGAAATCACATTGGCGGGTGGACTGGAGTAGTTTAAGTTCAAACGAACCAGGATAAAAATAACTATGTCTTTCCATTATTGTTGATCCTTTAAGAAAAAGAAAAAGAGACACTTATTAAACTCCCCCCCCCCCCCTTCTAAGTGTTTTCTCACCCTTCAATTGGTATCAGAGCTTGACTTTGAGCGCAAACACTTAACCATGTCAGGAAAAGATCCAGAAAGAAAACACAATGGCAACTGAACAAAACAACAATAACTACACCAAACCTCCAGTGTTTGATGGAGAAGATTTTGAATATTGGAAAGATAGACTAGAAAGTTTCTTTCTAGGTCATGATAGTGATTTATGGGATATAGTCTTGGATGGTTACACACATCCTATAGACTCAGAAGGAAACAAGATTGATAGAAAAAATATGGATAAACAACAAAAAGCTGATTTCAAAAATCACCATAAAGCTAGAAATATTTTTCTAAATGCTATCTCTAAAATGGAATATGAGAAGATCACAAATAGAGATACAACACATGATATGTTTAAGTCTCTTAAAATGACTCATGAAGGAAACGCTCAAGTGAAGGAGTCTAAAGCTCTGGCTCTCATCCAGAAGTATGAAGCCTTCAAAGTAGAAGAAAGTGAATCTATAGAAGCTATGTTCTCAAGGTTCCAAACTCTGATCGCTGGCCTGAGAGTTTTGAA